TGGCGAAATGTATTCATAATATTTCATGTTTGATGTTTATATTAGTGAAGTGTTTGTATATTTTTTGCATTTTTACATTCTCTCGTTCATACTGTCATTCATTGATTTTTGTGAGTACTTTTACGTGTACAAATCAAATAGAAGAGTTTGAAAAGTTTTCAAATTTTTGCCACATATTGATTATCATTGTTCGTTTGTCAAGCTCCGCATCACTTCAAATTTATCGTTTCAAAAATTGTTGTTGTTTTTTTGTAAAATAAATATGTGTCTTTGTTGTTGATTTTTGTTTATTGTAGCAGTTGTTATGGTTGTTGTACAGGCCATCGTGGTTGTTGTTAGGTTGTTGTTTGTAATGGTCTGTTTGTTGTTAGTCTAAAACACATACAAAAGCGCATATAAACGCACATACAGACAAACGTATACAAAACAAACATATACGAAACAACATATACAAAAAACATACAAAACAACATATACATATACAAAAACCTCCTTTAAGTATTTTGGTCGACGACGATGAATGCAACAGTGAGCAGTAACTGCCATTTGTAAGAAATTCTTACGCTCACCGGCAAGCAATGAAGATTCTTCAACCACCCAGTTATGTTAGAACGTCCACCAAGCCCAACAGTCTTGCAGCAGCGTTTTGAATGCCTTGAACTTTTTTCACCACACCAACCCCAGACCATTACAAAACAACATATACAAATCAGAAATAAACAAAACAAACATGTACAAAACAGACATATGCTAAACAAACATATACAAAACAAACTAATAGAAAACAAACATATACAAAACAAACTAATAGAAAACAAACATATACAAAACAAACGTAGAATCGTAGCATTGGGCTACTCACAATCTTTTTTTTTTAAATATTGACAATTGCCATCACACATCGCATGTTTCGGTGCACGGATTTTCGCGTATTCATTCATTTAATCACATTTATTATCATTTCTATATTTGGTAAAAAGATATGTTCAGAATAGTTTTAATCAATAATAGTATTATTATAAATTAAGAATATATTATAAATTACAATCGGAAGCTAAAAGTTGTGCAAAAATTTAGAATGGGGTTTATTGGAGCACTAGAAGGTGGTGGGAGGCTCAAAAAATATTAATATTGTTGGGTTTACTAAAGTTTTTCACAAAACTTGTTTTGTTATTTGTTGCTGTTATTTTTAAAATTAACAAACCAGTCAAACAAACGTCAAAATGTTTACTTATGCGTCATTAAATTCCACAATTTTTTTTCTCAAAGATTGCAAATTTTTGTTAAAAATTAATCTGAGGAAATGGGCTGAGAATGCTGTTTCCACCCAAGCCGACCTCGGTGATTATGATTATGATATCAATTATAATAAAATGATAATTAAGATTATAATTAAAACAATAATATTAATAACAATAGCAATGATGATGATGACGATGGTGTATTAAACACCATCTCAATCCAACTCTTAAAAATTTCATTTTGGCATATTTCTTTTTTTCATACATTCCCTTAATGACATCAAAGAGATGTTTGCATTGTTTGGCGCTGTGTTTCTTTACAGACTGTTGTATATGCTTTGTAGTTTTGCAATTTTAAAAAAATTGTTTCCGAAAACTTCATAATTGGTTTTCCTTTAAATTTTTTTCAGTTTGTTTTATTGCACGGCGTTTTTCAGCCAAACGTTTTCATTCGTTTGTTGCTTTGTATATTGCTTTGTTTATTATTGTTTATTGTTTCGTTTAAGGTTTTGTTTATTGTTTGTTTTTGACTGGCGTTATTAAAACTCAATAGGTATAACGCTAACCCTGGCGACCCAATAACAACTCTTCCACAAATTAAAATGAAATGAATAACGTGTCAGAGTGCTATAATAGTGTGCAAGCCTGAACGTATGTTTATGTGTATGTATGTGTCTGCATGTATGTATGTCTGTGTATGTATGTGTATGTGTGGTGTGTGTTTATGTTTGGTATGAGTGTGTGTATGTGTCGCACATTTGTTTTGTTTACGTACACACTTGGAAGTGTATTGATGTAAATGGACTGGGTGGTTAATTTGTGTACATTAAACTTTAATTGACTCATGATTGCGTGCACGACTGTTTCTCATCATTCAGTCGGAACGTACATTTCAAGTTTAATTTGTAAACAATGATACAAAATGAGATAAATGCACCACACACTTATAAACATTTATACAAATTGTTTATATTTGCATATAAACAAAGTATGTTCAAAGACAATATATAACAACAGATGCATACTTTGTTTACCTTTTCCACAAAACCCAAAAAATAAACTTTTTCCAAACATTATGCAACAAACATACACACGCATGCAAACAAACTTATTTGTATGTATATGTGTATTTGTGTATGTATGTGTACATAGGGGCATGCATAGAAACAAACATACGTCAAACAAAGTGCCCTCACGTCTAAACATGAATGAAAAAAAAATCTTCCTGAAAACCAAAACAGACATCAAATAAAAAGACCAGGCAATCACACACACGAAACACTTCCAATGAAGATACAAAATAAAGTTTGCATTTAAACACAGTTATGCACACAAATACACACACTTCTCACACACACTCATGAACACACACACACGTACTTAAGCGGACTCAAGGACTCAAACATCACAGACGATCATGCATACATACACACATACTCACAGACATATTTACATATATACTTTATTTTTGTTCGTGTTGTATTTTTTAATTTATACAATATTTATGTATTCAAGCAATAACAAAAGAGAGAGAAAGAGAGAAAAAAAAGAACAAGAGAGAGAGAGAGAGAGAGAGAGAGAGAGAGAGAGAGAAAGATGAAGATGCGGTGTTCATGATTGACGTACGTAACGTTAACTACTGATTGATGGCTGTTGAAATCGCTGAAGCGTGTATTTTTTTCAATTTTGAAGTCAGTATTCGCCCAGTCGGTACTGCTGAGATCTTGCAGAGTACTTGCTTGCTTGCACGTCTAAATTAACTTCTGTTGTTCTTTTAATAAAATCTCTACGTTTGTTTGAATGTATGCCTGTGTACAAATGCCTTTCTTGTGTTTGTATATTTTACTAGTTTGTATTTCTCTACTCGTATTTGTACATTAGTTTGAAATGAAAATAAGTGAGTTATTTTGAGTTGAATATATGTGCTGTATTTTTGGATGGCGTATTTAGCGTATATTTAGGCTTTGGCTTGTTTTTGTACGTATGCTGATGTGTTTAATGAAGATTACAAATTATAGATAGGCACGAATGTTTTACTTTTCTTCCAACTCATTACTTAGGATGACTAAATAGCTTATTATATATAACTTATAACTTATCAAAATAAATCCCTATTATGATTTTTAAATCCATAAGTTTCTTTGCCAAGCGTTCCCAATGTTTTCTGCTTGGATCTGCACTGCACAGTACACGCACATGCATGACTTACAGCTTTTTATTATTTAAAAGAAGGAAGATATTTACAGGCCACTGCAAAAAATGGTACTACTAGTCAAACAATAATGACACAAAAATAATAAACATAACATAATAATAAATAATAACATTAATAATAACATTAAGAAGAAGGAAGAAGAAAAACTAGAGAAAAATGTTGATGCGGTAGTCTCAATGAAAATCATTTTATATCGATTGAGCTGATCTGTGCAATTATTTTCAGCGTAATTAGCTTAGAACTTTGTACAAAATAATTTATTATTTTTTGTGGTCGATGTATGTTGAATTTTTTTTTCGTTCTTTGTTGGTGACTATGAATGTATGTACAATTGAACGGGTTGATATATCTGAGTTGAAATTGCTTTACGAGGCCAAGAAGGTTGACAAAAATTATTTTTATAGTTTGGTTTATTGCTTCTGTTGTTGTTGTTGTTTGGCTGTTTATTTAGTGATTATTGTTCTCTATGTTTTTCGCTTTTGTTATAGTTGCTACTGCTGGTTTATTACTCTTTAACAATTATTTTGATTTTATTTAAAAATTAAAATGACAATTTGTAATAATTTTAGAATTTGTCAATAATAAAATAAATAATATTAACGTAATAAAAATTTGCTTTAGATCAACAATAGAATATTTTAAAAAAAGTTCAACAAAAAAATTTTTGACTCAAGAAGATAATTAATACAATAAATAACAATTAACCAGAGTTAGCGTGGAAATTAAATCACGTGATCGAGATCGTCACGGACTTCATCATGGTTAACAATGGGGGCTTCCGAAGTTTAGACGTGAAAAATCTCGCCGGCATGCTGCCACGTGTTCTTCAAGCCGTCTAATGACTCTCACTCCAGCATAATGGCGACATGTCTGTCTGTCCTTCCATTATCCTACTCACTCCTCTCTCTCTCTCTCTTTCTATCTTTTTTTCTCCCTCTCTTCCTTTTTCTCTCTTTTTCTCTCTTTTTCTTTCTCTTTCTCTTCCCCCCCCCCTCTCTCTCTTTCTTTCTTCTTCCTTTTTTATTCCTTATCCTTTATTGCATTTATCTCCTATCTTTTAAGTTTATAACTTTTTTCATTTTTCTCTTCTACTTTCTCATTTTTTTTGTAATTTTATCAATTGTTTTGCAGCTTTCCATTGAAATTTTTCAATTCAGATTTGGTTTTTGTGTATTTTAGTGCAATAGTTGCACAGTAAACTAAAATATTAAACTAACTATTAAACTAAACTAAACTAAAATATTAAACTAATAATACGCTACGAATAATTTTTTTTGGTTAATAAAAATAAAAAATCTAAAGCATATATTGTGTCTGTAAAACATCAGTGTATGTGCTGTATAATATTGCTTGTGTGCTTGATTTTTGTCGTGAACTTGTTCGCTGACGGCTGATTCAGAAAAAGTTAATAATTTTATTTTCAATTCCACCTCTAAAAATTTTTAGTTTTGCTATTTGCCAATTTTCATGTTAGCAATTTGACAATAAAAATACTTTCAAAATTTACTAAAACCAAAATAATTATAAAAATATTTCAAATGAATTTAACCTCTGACGTCACAGGTTCCGACCTCACCGATCCAGGTGACTCCGAGACAAGTCAGGTGCCACATGGTCTCGATGTCGTTGCACTTTACAATTGTCGCGTCGCCCTGCCTTTTAGCGTTGGCGTTTGGTGGGGGCACGATGTCTGGACAGCCAATCACTAAGCAGGAAATTTAAAATTTTTTATTATTACCAAATTATCGTTTCAATTGTTAATGTAGTCAAGTTGATGAGAATTGAATTGTTGGTTAGTTATCTGGAAAATCATCACAATCACTCAATATTGTCAGCTAAATGTCTACTGTTATAACCATCGTCACAAACATCTTATTGTAATCATCATCCTCATCATCCTCATCATCGTCACTGCCAACCTTCATAGCCGATAACAAAATAGAGTGGGTTCTCTGCTAAGCCAGAAAACAACTTGACTTCGACCTTCTCTGACGGGGCAGTGACGAGGTGGACGACCCTCTGTGACGTCATCAGACCACACATCGTGATGTCCTTCGAAACTTGAGAAGGTGTGTACACCACGTTGGCCAATCTCTGGCAAGTTTTTTCTTGTCGCTGAAATGAAAAAAAAATCAATAAAACAAAATTAACTTTTCAGAAAATTAACTTTAAAAATTTTAATCCACTTTTAAAACCGAACCTCTCTGACGTCATGATCCATTCCGCTATCACCAACTTCACCGTCGACCCCATCCTCACCCACGTATCTTCTTGTGACGTAGAAAGTTAAATTAAATTTTTGGCCGGGTTGTGGTTCAAGAACCCAAGGGCAAAGTGGGGAGCCACATCCAGTTTGCGCGGTCACTAAACTCGCCAGGTAGCCAATGGTGGATGATCGCTTGTGTGTTGAGGTGGCATATGGGTGGTCAAGTGACTGGTGTGGTCGGATGAGGTGGCCCTGAGCCGTGCATGAGTTGGGTGGGCAGGTTGCCACTGTAGGATAAAATTAAAAATGATGACGAAGACGATGATGATGTTTACGATGATATTGATTGCGCTGTTGCTGATTAAGCTAACAACAATGGTGGTGTTTGAAGTTATTTTGATGGATCTCTTGGAAATGGTTCGTTTACCTATGATGATGAAAAATGTTTAAGCTGATGAAGATTTTGTTTATAACAACGGAAAATTGATTTATAAAATGATTATGATGATGCAGCAACATAGACAATATATTACTATAAAAGATGATACCTCTAGAGATGATGATGATGATGATGATGATGATGATGGTGGTGGTGGTGGTGGTGGTTAGTGAAACGATGAAGGCAACACAAAATGTCGATTGGCGGCAAGAAAGTGTCTCCACTATTTTCAATCATAGAACGAACACAGCAGACAAAGCATAGCAAACAGATGAACATGCGAAAACATTAAACAACACAGGACAAATAATTAAACAAACATTCATAATATAATGCCAATGAAAACAAAAACATTTTCAGACAGACAAGTAAGAAACGGCTCACACACACACATACATACACACACACATACACACACACACATACATATACGCACATACATTCAAACATGCAGAAATACAAACACAAGTAGACACTTTTAAAAAACAGACACACACACACAACACATACACACACGCAAAAACTTAAAAACAAATGAAGAAAAATAATTATGTATAAATTGTAATTTAGATGTATGTCTGCGATGGACCAATAAGATGAATGGAAGAAAAATGTTTGTAAAAGTTCGTCAATGTTTGCCTAAGTTTGTTTATGTTCTCGCGTTTGTCCATGTTTGCATAAGTTCGTTTATAATCTTAAGTTTGTCTACGTTCGTCTATGTTTGTCTAGGTTTGTTTACGTTCTCACATTTGTCCGTGTTTGTTCCTTCAAGTCAAGAATGACTTACTGCGGCGATCAAAAAAAAATTTTATTTCAGCTTTTACTTGTTTCAAATTTGAAGATATACATACTATATCATATCTCTGTTGAGTTTATCGCTTAATGTTTTACAGCCATTTAACTTACGTAACAAAACGATGAAAATTATTGAGAATATAAAAAATATGGTTAATAATAATAATAATAATATTACAAGTAATAATAATAATAATAATTAGAACTTCGACTCTATTGAATATCAGCATCACCTTATAGATGATTACACTGTGGAAGTCATTGTTGCTCTGCTCCCTGGATGTCAATCCTGATGCACACAGTCATGCATGCACCAAACTTAATGATGGAAATATCACCCGAGTATCTTCATGTCAGTATGTCATTACTCTCTCTCTCTCTCTCTCTTCTCTCTCTCTCCTCTCTCTCCATATTTTTTTCTTTAATCTTTTCGTTAGTTTGTTTTTCTTTTTTCTCTTGTTTCTCATTCTCTTTTTAATTTTTCAGCCCATCTCACTTATTTTCTCCTTTACCCTCTCTCTCTCTCTCTCTCTCTCTTC